AATGCACGTGACTAGACATCCAAGCTCTGTGTGCTACGGTGAGTCCCACCTAATACGAATAACACTGTGATCCACAAACGAAATCAGGTCGGTGCTTTTGTCGGCTTGCCGCCTCTGAAGTGAGGACGGTGGGATATGCTCCTTTCTGGATGTCCCATGCAGTGAACTCCAGAAGGAAAATACTAACTAAAACGACTGCCATACAGTAGGAGAATTATTTTCCTTCCTGGCGTGCCTAAGTTACTGGCAGCTAGCGAAGGGCACGCCCAAGCCAATGACCTGGAGGAATGGCGGTATAACCGTGATATTCTATTCACCGGTTATATCATACTTCAGGCGATCTCAACGCTATCGGTGTCATTCACTACAAGAGCAGAGACCCAATGCTACTGAGACTTATGGTTCACCTTGAACAAATGTTGGTAAATTCAATCTGTAACAGGCAGATACTGCGAGGTATAACGAGTAAGTGTATCAGTTAGAGAATCCCAGCCCTGGTTATCATCGAGAAAACAACACCACTCGAGACGCAAGATAATCACAACAACGATACAGCAATCTATATACTCAGAACAATAGCTATCGAGAAAGCTACCACTGGACTGCATACCGACGTGCAAGTTGGACCAAAAAGGAACTGTATTCATATTGAGATTTGACATGTCAGCCGAAAGTGATCAGATGCCGGCCTCTCATCCGTCGACACAAATTCACCTACTTCATACACACCTCTCCTGTAAATAGCCAAATGCTCAAAGCCCACTTACTAAACTTTCCAGACTGTGACTCCGCCAAGGTTCAAAGTGCTATGACCTCATCGTTACAATGGAGATAGCGTTGCGTCCCGACATAGCTGACATCGAAGTTGCACTGCCGAACCCTACCTACCCAGGAAAAGGGAGAGTTGGCTCCTTACTTCCGCAGTGATCTCCAAATTAAACCCATGGAGGATTTGGTCTACAAAGAACAAGGCTCTCTATGGGGTCGTCTACGTTTAACAGGTGATGAGACCTGCTTGGTGGCGGTCTTTACCGCCGTCCTCACTCCAAACTTGAAATGGACTTCAACCTGACATCCGCAATGTGGTGAGCGATAAACGCGAAGTACCACCACATTTTTCTCCATGGCGACTTTAACATCTACGCCCTGGAACCTTAAGCTAACACTTGAGAAGAGGTCCCACTAAATCTACAAGCGCTTGCCTGTAGTTTTATGGGGTACGGTCACATCAACGCTCCTACCAGAATCAGAAAAACAGATGGGGCGCCTATCCTAGATCGGATATTCACCACTGAAGAACTCACGAGAGAGCTGGTGTCCATCAAAATCCCATTGGGTCACAGTGCTCATGTAGGCTCACTATTTGAGTACATCCGTCACGCAGGATATCTCATGAAAACTGCCGATGTAGCAAAATTTATTCTACGCTGCTATAGCCCAACTAGCTAAGACATCCAACTAATCGACATCGGCCAGCGCATGGTAGCATTTCGTCAGAAAGTTAAGCAGTGTGGTTGCGGATGCATCAGCAACTATGCCAGTCCAACCGAGAAACGTGGTCTCGTTAGTGCGAAGAAAGACAAATAAGTGTATAGCAGCGCGAAACACGGCTTTGCATATCTACCTTCGAGCTACTAGATTGCATGGTCTGTGTTACCCAACGCAACCATTGTGGTCAACTTGTTCGCGATGAAATGGCATGCCAGCAAAACTTGGCAAGGCGTTTGGTCACAAATCACAGGCTGCTATTTTTATATGTAAACGGTCTAAGTAAGCTGAAACTGGAATTCCTCCCCTGTAATCAGTGGACGCACTGACAATTATCCACGAAGGGTGCGGCGAATGCCGTCGCGACTGTAATATGCCCAACACTTTCGGTGTTTGCAGTGACCACTTAACACTATGGCACGCATTGTCTAGTCTCAAAACTCACGCAGATATCTTTTATGGTAAAAACTAATGCAACATTTGATGTGTATGCGTAAGCACAGCACTCCTGGAGCTAATATTCAACCGAACTCACTCACCGCGATAAGAGAAAGCTTTACTGAGCCTTTGGCTCAATATTCCTTACCTTATTTTGACGAAATGCGTGTCCAACGTGTGGAAACACCGGGTAATATATCCAATATACACAGAAGCATCGTTCTGTTTCACCCAACCCTGTCCTGTAATCCTCCTACTGGAGCTTTCAAAGGTCATAGAAGTCATGACTGCCGATGCACTAACAGATACTTGGCATGATTTACCTAACTGGCTCCAGAACAGTATGGCTTCCGCTGAAATCGATCATGCACTACAACTCTACTCCTAGCACGATCCAGCTGGATTGAAGAAGTAAAAACTAGGGCAAGAGTTGATGCGGATTTTCTCGACTTCTCAAAGGCTTTCAGCCGATTAGACTATGACATTCTTCTCTCCAAACTTGAGAGTTTGGTATTGGCTATGCTTTCCTAGGGTGGATCGGAAGCTTTCTCTTTCAAGGGCACTTGTACGTGAGTGCGTACATCCCTAGTAAATACATTCACTTGGAATGCGGGGTATCAAAGGGTCGGTGTTGGGGCTACAGTTGTTTTTGACGTATACCAACGACACAACATACCATATAAACTCAAACTGTCTGCTCCATGCGGGTATCATGGTGTGAAAGGTGATCAATACACCATGTGTTAGTATACTGATTAGCCTTATCATTATACACCTTACCTTGAGGTGGAGAACACCTAGCTGCAGTGCAGCAATACATAAGGAAAGAAAAAATACACTGTAGGTGCAAGCCAGTCAAGCTCACAGTAACCGATGGGCATCGTTCCGTTATTTCAAGCAGCAGGCTTCGACGGTCACTCGTTGCGCATGCTATGCCACCCGACTCCCGCGAGGTGCGCTGTTTGTGCGCCGATGGTGTGGATGACTTTTTTACCAGGTTACCTCAAGCCGATCTGGATACGGTTTAGTTATGCCCAATCCATGATCTACTTCGGTTCAATGTGGAAAAATGGAGAGTGCTACACTTGCGACACAAGCTGGGGGGCGCTATAAACTGGGCAACCAGGAGCTTCAAGCGTCACGCAGCAATAAAGAGCAGTATGTTTTAACACAGGCAACCTTGGCTGTTCGAATCAGACAGAAAGGGCATCAAGAAGATGCATTAAAACTTGGACCTCCTACGTCATGCACACGGACTATTTGACCCGTCGAATTTTTAGCAGCGTCCCGGCTCATGCATACGTCCACACGTGAAACGTGCAACACAGGTCTGGCATACATGGCTGAGGAGAGATCATCTTGCTTTGGCGATACGCTAACACCACAGAAGCAGGAACCTCGAAGCTTGTACCAATAGCCTTATGCTCAAAGCCTGAGATTGCTCGGGGTCTTCAGTGGACAATACCGACCATTGCGTTGGGACCTCATTTTAACTTATTAGATTTTGCGGGACCCCAACCGCACGTGTCAATATTCGCTGGACCGCAGTCGAAACAGCAATCTGAGACGGCATTAAATCAAGTTGACAGAATAGTACATTCGGTTGAAATGCCGTAGGAATTACTTTTCTGTGTGTGTTTGCCTAGCGTGGAATGCCTCACCGGAATATGTCTTCCGTGTTTACACGCTAATAGAGTTCAAAGCTATAGTTGACTGCACTTCTTTCGCTTTATCATCTCATACGACTCATTGCCTATGGCTAAACACAAGCGTCTGTTAGAGATTTTACCAGAATGGGTTCCACCTTTTTCACCTCTTGCATACGTTACCCAAGAGTTGACACGGTTTTTACAACTGTCATATATGACGTTATTCCTTATGCACGTACAACGGATTTACAGTTTTTGGTACCCATATATATATATATATATATATATATATATATATATATATATAACGCCTTACTAGTAATCAACTGACGGTGTGCAGCAACACATGAGTAACAACAAGTAAGAGCAGGGAAAGAGATAGTCAGGAAAAAGGTTGTGGGCGTTCTTGTGTTGCAAGAGGCAATGGGCTTCCAGTTTGCCTAGGCTGAGGAAGTGGGTTGAATTAAGCGAGTTCATCCCTAACCTTTGTTCTTAAAGACTTGACCCGCAAGGCAACGGGGCGATCCACGCATGTTACTGACTACGAAGACCGTTGACAGCCAAGTGACTCATTCGCCTAAGTGTGTTTGGTTGTAGTCCATGCATAAGTCGGTGGCCACCAAGTTTGTTCATCCGCCCTTCGTTATGTACTCATCACTGGTTACAGAAGTGAGTGGTCTGTGAACATATAGCTGGTCACATTGGTTTTGACACAGCGACGTACGAGTTTTGTTATATTTCATAGAGAAACAGGTGGTCAGCCCAGAACTCCACACGCTCTGAGACGCTGCCGCTGATGGTCCGAGACTGCTTATTCATCTCGCTTGCAAAACAAATGAGACATATTTGCAAGTAGCTCCACAAGGAAGACATTCCACAATCCGCAATCGCGGAAAGCGACCGATAACCTACAACTACCACGGTGAGTCCATGTTGTGAACACTTGCCAATACCTTTGCCGCAGTTTGTAATATTCACCATGGTGATCCTACAGGATCTGTATACTTTAGATTGTTACTAGATTAAATCACTGTTCTATTGTTCCAGCTGCGTCAACAGGCTAGATGGTTCTGGTTGCAAGAACACACTGTTTCTTCAAGTTGTTATACTATTGAAATCGCATTGCCGAAACGCGAATGGCCAAGGGGAATGCTGACTATCAAAGTTGTGTTGCGAGTAGGTTTTTATGTTTCGCTACCTGCAAGCCATCGATAGCAGTACCATGAAGCTAGTTTGTAGAATTTAGTGGCATAAAAGTTCTTCGCATGCTTACGTAATTAACATCAGAAGGAATAACCATCAGTGAATTTAGTGATCCACACCTCGCTGTCTGTTTTCAGTACTCTCCGCTTTGCCAAAATGTCTCTTCTTCGAACAGCCGCCAAAAAGGTACTCAACAATTTTAACAAACGACATCGAACTTACCATATCAATTGACTGACTGAAACAATGATCCGTGTTCCAATAATTGTTGCAATGGCTCCACGGCAGTACCCAGTTAAACGACATGACGAGGTAGTAGATCGTGTAGCCTGATAAGATACTGTAAATGACGCATATCATGGCAGAGATAAAAACCATGCACCAGCCAATACCTGAGAAAGGCATGAAAAGAGAACGTTAGTAATACCATCGGCTGGCCATAGATGAAAAAGCTGAGGAAGTAACATTGACCATTTACCCCTTCTTCTCTTGATACCAAGTGTCCCCAAGATAACAGCAAAATTTCTCTGTGTGAACTTTTCGACAAATAGTTTCTACTCAGCTTGGTGTCTGAGTGGTGAAGCAACAACCCTTCAGCAACACACGGGAAATTTCATCAAACAGTGTGGACAATGTTATTCCCTTCGAAAGCATAATGTCACTGTATCCTTGCCTCTATCTCTTCTTTTTTGTAGAAAACGATGAACTTATACAATTACTTAATTTTTGGGAGTTACAGCCCCGCATAATCCTTGTCAATCGAATACATGGGGACACCACTTAGTGACTGGCTGATGGCCAAGTTTCTGCTTATCCACTAGTTAGTTAGAAACGAACAATCTGATTAATACTAGTCTATCACTAAAAGCCATATTTCAGATGAATTATCTGGATATAGATAATGCAACTGACGAAAAACTCTAAACACTGGTTCAGAACTGAATACCGACCATCCTTCGATAGACCGGAACCGACAAAGTTGTTCTTGTTGAACCTGATGGGCTTTACAATAGGCCCCTTCATATGTCTTTATCAGTTGCGTACACATGTCACGATTTTGATCCAAAAATGTTTTGTCTATGCTGACAGTGATACATTTAATTTCTTAACAGAGTGAGTTAAAGATCCTGATGGTTGATTATTAGTTATGCAACTGACAGTATGTGGAGATTAGTGCACACAAAATGTGCGTATACACATTTGCACATTGTGCGCAAAAGGGTTATATGCTGACCTGTGGCAAGCATAATGATCACAACGATGGTTCCATGCTCAACTATGGTGTTATGATCCGAAGCCAACTAGTTTTTTATATTCAGGTATTTATGTACCGAAAAGCCAATCGTTTACTTTGATTGATCAGGAACATTGCAAGTAACTCAGTAATGGGTCACTAGTGATCCCTATCCGAACGAACGAATGTTTCTAGGAGGTGTTATGTTTATTAATACACGTATCTGGTGGCGTATTTCCATTACAACCTCAGGATCCCTTATAGTTTAGAAGGTTACAGATGTACTCTACATATTCATTAAGTAATTTAACAGTCAGTAAACTTTGCTTGCTTTATAGGCTAGGGAGTTGAAAGTGCTCCCGTATTCTAAATTCCTCCTCGAAGGGCCATGGAATTATTGGATTACATACCGTTTTGTGATCAGTCGCACAGAAAATTGTCTGCAGGCTAGGTAAGTAAGCTCGTTGGGAGTAAACGGAAGTGGTGAATGAAGCTGGAAAGGTCAAGCTAAACACTTCGGAGTAACTTAGTCCCTAGACTGGAACGCATGAAAGTAACTTTTTCCAGATCCGTATCCTGAGTTTGCGGCTCATCATTAGATTTGAAGTTGACGATTAAGAAGAATAACATGCAAAGCCTTTACATATATGCTCCGGTGGCAAGTGAAATATAATTGGGTTGACATAATTCAGCCGGTACAAGAAGGGAACTTTCACCAGTATGGAACCTTAGCCTCTTCCAGTTAACTAAGGAAACATTCTGAAGAACCATCGGGTCACATCCCAAGTATTCAAGTTTTAAGAAGTTTGGAAAACCATACTTGTTACCGTGTGTTGTATTCGCGTGGGGTAGGCGTTATCATACCGCCTTGACAAATCCAGCTCTGTTGGTGTGTTGAATGATTCCATAGAACGGGAGAATCCCGTTGTTAATTCCTCGCAGTTGCTTTGCACTCAATATCGCGTCACATATCTGAACCACTGGACCTTCGACTATACGGCACCGAAGTAAACGTAAAAGGAGTTTACATTATTCCTCCACTAAACACTAAATGCTTTACCTGACAAGCGCCTATGGGGAACTACAGTGCCAGTAAGTGAGGTAGACATCCCTAACCTGGCTGGGATAAATCATCTCAGGGCTTGTCGATTTAGTTGATTGGTTGCCTACAACAAAGCCTGGAATCTTTTAGTCGTGTAACATATGTAGAAGATACTTGTCTACCCCTTTTGTTAGCAGTCACTGAGAATGTCAAGAGTGTGAAAGTTTGAGGAGTCAGAAAAATGCCATGAGTGAATCCTAGGTGGATTTGGATACAAATCGACCTCTTACAACCGGTAAACTCCATCAGTTGACTTCACCATCGCCCATCATACGCAGTTCATTGTAACTGAGAGACAGAGTACTCCTTGGTTTTGACCAACGCTGTCTCTCACGCACCATGCCTTCATGTGTGCAGCATGGACAATATCCAAACGGATTCGATACTCTGACGCACGTAGCCGTTAAATTGGGGGTGCAACTGCTTTGAATTTTTCGAAATACCCAATCTGAAGTACCAAGCCATACAGCTTAACATCCCCTTTCCTGTCCTTAATTATCAACTGCATGAGCATAACTTATGCATGAATACCATTTTTTTAAACTTGGATCGTGCAGATGCATAACGTTTAGCATAATATTATTGCCATCAGCACCATTTATCCACAGAAAATTACCTCCACATGGATGAGGAGAACTGGAAACCAACCCCCACATCAAGAAGAGTCTAGGCAGCTTGGTTCATGAAGTACCTGCCTAAACTCATGCGTAGACACTTCATATAAATTATGTTTCTCACTCTGTCCGATGTTTGCTAACCTTGTACAAGCAAAGGGATTAGAAAATATACAATGGAATCTTGAAGGGCACCTTTTTGAAGATGAATGGTTCTTGTGCCTTTCACTGAGGGGCCAATGCGTGGGCCAATTTTTATTCAACAATCACATCCATACTCAACCACACCTCACAGTTTTCGTTGTCATATGCTCAACTCAGTAGATGAAAGATTCAAAGTAATAAAAAATATGCAACGTTATTTGTTTGAGGTATACCAACCTTCGAAGAAGGGGATCATGCTGAATATCCTGATAGTGCTCATCCCTGTAGACTGCCCGAGGGCAGTTTCCATGAAAAATAAGGACATTCCACACATGGTCAAGTATAGGAGATAGGGGATAAGGAATGCACCTAAAAAGGACACGGAAAGCATGCTGAGTTACAGTAGCAAAGATCATTATAACGGCATCGGCATGCAAAGGCTATTATGAAAATCATTTAGGCGTATTTCACTGTTGCTTACTCCGCCAAACTATTTAAATATTCTTTCCGTGCAGATAAAAATCAGAAGACTGATTTGAGGTCAACAGCTTATGTATTCTCGTCAATCACATATTGATAGATAAAGCAAAAAATCATGAGACGTAAGTGACCAAGAGCTTATCGGCTGTTTTAGAATGCACAACGGTAGGCGTTCGCGATTGATAAAGATTGACTCAACTAGCGCAAATGTTGGGCCGCTGGTTACGCATTGGGACTGTGAACGACTCATCAGGGTTGAGGCGGTGGCCGATAGTCCGCAAGTGCCTTATGACTGCCGAGGCAACTGCATTCCCCGACCCAACCGATTCCGTTGTCACAGACCCCATCCGTTGCTTATGAACTTAGGACGTGTTCACTGGTTCCAAGACCTAGACTTCGGTCAGTGCGCCAAACGTGTCTGTCTCCACAGCTACGCGAATTTCATAAGCAGTGCGCTATGCACTCCTTCGACATCGGTGCCTCGATCGAAAACATTTCTCGTAGAGATGAGCAGCCGCAGCTCTGCGGCATTGTAAACTCTTTTTGGTGGAACCCCTATTCGGTTCTCGGTGACCTTCATTATGTGCTAAGCTTGGAAAGCAGCTCAACGAATATTCGCTTCGTTTGGACTGTTGGCATACAATCTCGCTTGTCTCCCAGAGAAGCATAATCAACGCAACGGATAATTGTTAGATAGTAGAGTATCTAAAAGTAGGACTGTCTCTTATTCTGTGGTATCTGGCGTGCAGATCATATTAGCCTAATAGAACTGTCCCGACGAGCCGTTTGTGCTGAATAGAGAGGTACTAGTAACTTGCAGCTATTGACCAGTCCAGGTTGGCTTGCTGTACACAGATCTGATGGAACCGTCTAGCCGCTTTTTAATCAGGTCTAAATACAGAAAACAATCAGCTTACTAAATTTGACGGGTCACTACAAGTTGCTGGTGTATTTTGTTGGGAGTCTTGATCGCATATTCGATGTCCACATCTGCATCTATGAGTAAAACTATGTCATCAACATACCTATTATACAAAGTGGCAGACCTTATGACGTCCTCTGCCTTTTCTTCAGTCAAGCCCATAAAAGTACCTACTAACAACGTGCTTAGTAACCTCTCCACCGTCGCATGTTGTAGCTGCCAATATGCTTCGAAGTAAAGGCAAAAACTTGCTATTTTGTATGCATAAAAGGCTGATCTGTCCGCGGAACTCTTTTCGCCATGTGCACATTTATACACAAGTTGGGTTCTATGCTTCCATCTTCGCAACCGCCTTTCTGTGACAGCAGAGGTTTTTCCAAGTTCTTCCCCGAATTCTTCTACCTTTTTCTTCAGAAGTGGGTCTGTAACTGTTTGGTTGTGCTCATGAACCGAGATAGACCAGCCTTTCACAGCAGTTTCTTCTTCTTCCTTTGCACATCGCTTCCTTTCCTGGGAGCTTGCAGTGCCAAGCGATAAATGCTACCGGATTTCTTTTTCACTGGCAATCAACCTGGCTAGTGTAGGAGGAGCAGTGTGTAAATCACTGCGAGGTTCCTGGTGGATATGTTTTAATTTATCCAAAACGTCCAATTTTTTGTCAAGGACATATCTTTTCTGTCACTTGGTAAAGTTGTGTGTAACCAATAGAGTAGTGACAGATGTGGAGCGGAAAATTTATCCGACTTCGCTCAGTTCTCGAGTTTTGAATAGGGCAGAGAGTTTGCCCACAGCCGTCTGTACATTTACATTGCTCGTATAGTGAATGACAGGTAATCTTTTCCGATCTGTCAATAACGCCGCCGACATCTCGCTTGTCCTTGACTTCATCGGACTGGCTAACTTTGGGGAAATCTTAATAAAAGAGTCAGAGAGATGACATAAAACTGACAAAGCTACAAGAGTACTGTCCACATAGCTGGACAATCAATCGCTGGGACGACCCCGGTAATGGACAATTAGAAGGTGAAAATGTGGCTTATTTATGAGAAAAGAATTTTTCTTTAGTAAAGCTTGACCATAATGTGAGTTTGACTGCAGTTTGAAGATGTCTAACAAACTACGTGGTACTACAGACTTTCTGATAACCTCAAGCTTGCTAATTAGCCATTTGGCAATGGCGTGAAACAATGAGTTAACGATAGGGATAACTGGCTGCAGAGGCATTCCCACTTTGGGCAATTTGAACAGAGTACGTGTACCTCTATATCCGTCATCGGAGACGGATTCATTGGGCCTTAGGATTTGCAATTCACGACCTAATCTTTTTGAGTAAACGGATAGTCCCAAGGGTAGTATTCGGCTTAAACATTGTGTTGTCAGGTATTAACGTCTCCATTTTACGTAAGTAATCTAGCCTGTCTATGAGGACCACTGTGGAACTTGCATGGAGTTTCAAGGTAGCTACTTCCCTATTTTGTCCCAGCTTATGTAGTGGTTTGCGATGTTTTGCAGTGGAACACATCAGTTGTTTTAGTTAGGCGCTGAAGATATGTCTACTACCTTGTTCTGTAACCAAGCACTATTGATGCAGGGTGTACGATTCAGAACGTCAATTGGCTGTAGAGATTCTCAAAGTTGGCATCAACGGATGTTTTGAGAATCTGACTATGAACAATGAACAATGATTTATCACGGGATAAAAGCAAGTGCTTGACACGTCCCGTAGGATGGTAGCGGTGAATATGATGCAATTAAAATATGTCTGGGTCATCTATCGAACGTCTGCCGAGATGAATACTTTGATAATTAACATCAGTGTAAAATGAAAAAAATTATCGCGCGTAAACGTTCAGAAAGACACTGGGGTGCAGTGATAGTTGAGGTAAGGAGTGAGAAAATAAAATATGGTCGCTCACTTAGGTCCATTTGATACATTAGTCCTGTTGAAAACATGCTTGGCGTAATCCACAATAGAGGAGCTTAGGTAACAAAATATTGGGAGCTAAGAGCAACATCTAATCGTTTTTTTGAAAACATCCAGGGTAGGAGAGGATACAACTGAGTCTGGGAGTGCGTTCCAGGGTTTGCAAACCCGAAGGGAAAAGTAATTCCGTCGACACTCTAGACGGCTATATTGTTCCTTCAACTTTAAGCAGTTACCCCTGAGCTGCGTGTTGTGGCTAAGTTTCAGCAAATGGCGGCATACGTGGTTGGGGTCACTCAATATCTGATACGCTAATATGAGATCGCCGCGCAGCCTTCGATAACGTCCGCTGAAAATTCCCAGCAACTTCAGCCTTCGGTGGTAAGAGTGATAGCGCAGACCCTGCACATTCTTTGTTGCTCTTCGTTGTGGTGCCTCTATCGCTTCTAGGACGCATTTCAACCAAGGTTGCCAAGCTTGGATTGCGTATTCAACATGCGGGCGCACGTAGGAATTGTGCATCATTGGGAAGATTGATGGGTCAAATCTCCCGAATGCCCTTCGCAGCATGCCGACGTGCTGGTTGCCTCTTTTCGCAGCTACCTCAGCCTGTTTTGAACAGTTGAGGTCGCTCTGTACGATCACACCAAGATCACGTTCCTGGGAGCTATTCTGCAATTCGTTTGTCCCAAGTATGTAGGTGTAGTTATGTCTATGGCGTAATTGTACAACGCGACATTTGTCTACGTTGAACGGTAGGGCGTTTTGAACTGACCAGTTCGAAACTGTGTTAAGATCGTGCTGGAGCCGTTCATGGTCGTCCGGTCCTCTGATCCTTCGCCATATCTTGATATCATCAGCAAAAAATAGGAAATCGGAAGTAATTGATCTCGCCAAATCGTTAATGAACACCAAGAATAGACGAGGTCCAACAACCGAGCCTTGTGCTACTCCACACGTCACATCGATTGCATGAGAAAATGATTCTCGGACTCTCACCACTAGCCGTCGTTCTTGTAGAAAATTGCTAATCCAACTCAGGATTGGATCGCCAATGCCGTAGTTCCGAAGCTTCTGAAGAAGAATTCGATGGTCTAAACGATCAAACGCTTTTGAGAAGTCCAGGTAGATGACATCGACTCCTACTCCATCATCAACAGCTTCAGTCCAGCTATTACGTGCAATTAATAGGTTAGTATTACACGAATGCTTTTGACGAAAGCCATGTTGCTCTGGGGCTATTAAATTGTGGCTTTCCAGTTATTGCATCGGCGCGTCTGCGATGATTGATTCCATCACTTTGGATAGTACGGGAAGTAGTGTTATTGGACGGTAGTTGGCAGGATCAGTGCGGCTACCTCCTTTATGGATAGGAGTGAAGACCCCTTGCTTCCATACTGGTGCAATACGGTTTTCCTCTAGACATCACTGATAGAAAACAGCCAGTGGTTCTGCTAGATCACTAGCTACTGCCTGTAGAGCCTTTGGTCAGATGTTATCAGCTCCGGGAGAACTGTGGATACGCAAGGATAACAACTTCTTCAACACAGCTTCCGTAGTGAAGGTGATGTTTTCTGGAGTATTAGAAATGAGATGAATGTTTGGGCTCGTTATCTGTTGGAAAGTTTGAGAGTAATGAAGCCGTAGGAGATCAGATGCTTCCAATGCTGACCGCTTGCACCCATCAGCCGTGACTAGTGCTGGAACCCCTCGCTTTACCTTTCGAAGGCCGTTAATGTGCCTGTACAGGAGTTTGCGGTTAGTGCAGAATCGCTTCATTAACTTCTACTGATGCGTGACCTTGTCTTCGCGGATCAGTTTCACACAGAAGTTACGATGTGTCACGTATGCAGTCCAGGTTTCGGCATTCGGGCAGTCCTGGTGATTTCGTCATGCCAAATCCCTCCGGGACAGACATTTACGTGTTCTGCTCCTCAGAAATGACTTACTCTTGTTTTTGGTTTGGAAGGACTTCTGTTCCGATGCTTGCGCTACCAGTGTGCTCAAAGTCCTTGTAAACATATCCCAGGCCAGATCTGGGGGGCATTCGGTTAAGAAAGTCCAAGATGCATCCTTAACAAGCTTGGACAACACATTGTAGTGCGTGACAGTGTGCACTTTATCCTCCTCCTTTTTCGGGTACTCAGCATAGCATATATAATCAAAGAGTAGAGTGACATGATCACTACGACCCAGTGGTGTGCTTGTAACTATCCCGCTAACCATGAGTTCTTCGTTAGTTAGCACAAGATCCAGTATCGACGGCTTGTTAGAAGTTCGAAATCTGGTGGGAGAGGTTACGTGGTTGTAAAGAGGGTGGCTAGCAATAAGTTCTTGCAAACAGGCTTTAAACGGCATACCGTCGATTGCCGGCGTTTCTATGTCATGCACGTTAAAGTCTCCCACGATAAGAATGTGGGTGTAGGACTTGTTCAAAGCAAACTGAAAAACGTGGTACAGTTTGGAGTCCATTTCCGACGTTGAGCTTGGCGGGCGATAAACTACGGCTAGTAGACATGTGTCCTTGTTTCGCAACCAAAGGCGGCACCAAAGCGAATCGGGAGCTCGGATTTCCGGGTGATCGATAATTTCACATCGGAGGTTTTTATTATAGTAAAGAATCACACCGCCACCCCTTCCAGTTCTATCGGTCCGAAGCAGCGACATACCGGGTAAATTGATCTCACAGTCGGTTATCTCAGGGTTTAACCATGTCTCTGTAATCATGACGAGATTCCGCGGTTGTGAGGCATGGAGTTCTCTAAGTTCGGCCAACTTGCTTAGAAGGCCTTGGGCGTTTGTGTACATGCAAGATAGGGCTTTTGTTGTTAGGAGTTCATTGATAATGTCAAGTTTGTGTTAGTTTTTAAGCTTTTTAAGCCGGCCGTTAGGTGACCGGCAATTAATCGTTTTTTGGTTTGTGTATTTCAGTCGTGTTGCATGACATTATTGAGCGTTCCTGAACAGACGGTTCACTCGTGCTGTGCTGGGTCCTCCTGTGTGCCGTGGGCGCTGTTGTGTCGGTCCCTCCGAAGGACTGTGCAAGTAAAGAATTTGCAGCGTTTGCAAGTTTCATCGAATTGCTTCCGACTTTTGGTCGTTCGCCTGCTGCCTTTAGCCGTATTTCTGTTGGCAACCTAGCTCGAAACTTTAACCAGCTATCTAACAGAACTTGCGTCATCCCCTCTGAGTGTAGTATTATTTTCATTAGCCTTGGACGGCAGCCCTTGTAGTTAGGTGATGACGGAACTCTTGTCAGGGATTTGGCAATAACATTGTCAACAGAGAGTGCTTCGCGGATGTAGCACCACTGCTCTCGGTCATGTGTTTGTGCATCGTGATCAGAAGAATGCAGCAGCTCGGGAACACCATGAACAAATATTGTTTTCTTGCTATCCCTATTAGCAATACCGCGTTGCTCCACTGCTTCTTTTGGGCGATCTTTCCAAGGTAGATCAGGTAATATGCGTACTCCGCTCGGTGAGTAGCGAAGACGAACTGCCGAGAGCAGGACAGCCTCTGTCTCATCTGCTGAGTTTAGTGTTACTTGAAGAATTCGTGGTTCACCAGAATGCACTGAGGTCGAGTGACGCGCCACGCGTTGCAGCATTGCAGACTCAACCCGAATGCCAATCGCCTCGCAGATGGAACTCCACTGGTTGCGATCGTCTTGCAACTTGCCTTTTATTGTGCCTGATTTGGATTCGGGAACGTTGGTGCACACGAGAGTTAGCGCAGCGTGGTTTTGTCTAGCGAGTGTTGGCTTTATACATTTTGCCGGCCATACAGGTTGTTTAGAGGGCACCACTGGAGTTGACGGTGAAAGCTGCTTTGTGTTACGCGTGCTCGGTACTGAAGATGAACTTGTGTGTGTGTCCCTCCCGGTGTGTTTGTCGAGGCAATCGATGCGTACGTTACGTGCGTTTTAACTGCACCGGATTTCCTTCGGCTGTGAGCTGTCGGTGTCATGGCTGAATCTCCAAGTTAATCGTCTATGGTTGGAGAAGTGGAAGCAGGCATGTTTGAGACTTGCCCACTTGTGGGAGTGAGGTGACCTAGTGGGTTTAGAGTCACAGACGCTGCAGTGCGGTCGGAGCGTCTAGCTCTTTTCTTCGGTTTAGACTCAGAGCTAACTTTGACCGGGTGAGGTATTATCGTGGCCATATTTACCTCCGAGATAGCGACCTTAGTATTTACAAAATGCGCGATTATTTCAGTCATCCAATCGCATTTTTTCATGAGCAAAGATAAACAGTTGACCACTGGAATGACTTGACATGTTGGGCAAAACTAAATTGTGTCAGCAACTTGGTTTGTCTGTCTCACTTCTTGGACGGATTTACCTGCACATTGTGGACAGTACAATCTAATGCAGCTAGAACAGGTAATACTGATCTTAAGCACTTTACTGCAGCTGTCTGCACAACATAGGCGACGCTGAACCATAGGACTAGGTGGTGTCTTGAATTCCAACCCGAGGGATAATGCTTCGATGTTGAGTTGGTTGAGGAACAAAGATGGTATAGTGCGAACAAATTTGAATAATCAACCAGGGACTCGCCCTTCTATCTTTCAATCGAAACGATACATTGGAACTTGAGAGTTGCAGACTGTGTCCTCTTTTGACAAATGTTGTGGTAGAAGTTCACGAATTTGATCTGACACACGAGCGCAAACGTCATACACGGATAGATAACGCTAGGTTATTGCCCTGAGCTGATTAATTATATGCAAGCAAGTTTCTTTATGACTCTAAGTATCTCTCAACTTTAGACAACGTCAAATTAAAAAGTAAGTCTTTTTAATTTCCTAGTTGGCATTATAAAGGGAATTACTTGTTTTAAATCCCTCTTCATGTAGTTGATATTTGACTTCCCTGTTAGTGTAAGTCACCTCATAAGTTACTACTGCTGCTTTTCTCATCTGCTATAAATGTAATGTCTGGTTCAAATTTCTATTCTTGTAACTGCTATTTATCTTCTCCGTTAATGCGTCTTGCAGTTTGCACTTAATATACCCTTTGTATACTCCGTACTGGCAAGCAAGTGTTCAGATTGATGACAAAGGCAGCGCAACAACATCAATTTGTACTCATTTTCTTACCTCCTCCGTTTTGTAAACATAGATAGGGAAACCGAACTATATTCCCCAAACCAACAGCATATCCGACGCAAGAGAGTACAAATTCCAGTTGTTTTCCCCATTGGCTCCGTTTTTTTATCAGACACTCGTCATCCGCTCCGTTTTCCGACCGCGTCGAACTCGAATCGTACAGTGCTTCCAACTTAGGAAACTCGGTTTTCCCGTGTTGCTCTTCTTTGAAACCAAAATTCGTGTGGTTCTTTGAGTCCACAACGGCACATCTGGGTACCGGTTCGTCCATCTCTGTTTACAAAGAAGAGACATGTGTATAACCAAACCATGCTTGTAATCAAGATGAGGATAAAACCTCGAGATTATCCAGAATATCTTAAACGGTATTTGTTGATCCGCATAGACAGCCGGTTGGTGGGAATGTAAATAGTTGATTACTATCAATTAGTAAATTAAAATGGTAAGCGCGTCCTTGGCTAGCAAGGACACACTTGGAATGGGTAGATAGTGTATACGCACTCGCAACTTCAGAGGCAGAATTTGTATACCTATTGCAAATAGATTGCTGACAGGCACAATCTTAAACATCTAATCATTGTATTTTCGTGTAAGGGAAGTTTAATTGGTCTTGAAAAGCAAGGAAGTATTCTATGCAACGGGATACATACCCATACATGCTGAAAAGTTTAGAAAGCCGGAGTCTCCGATTTAGTTGCATCACGTAGCCTATTGCAACATTTCCTCCAAGTAACTCAATGCAATGCCAAACGTTTAAAAGTGGCGTAATTCTATCTGTAAGTCTACTGTAGTGGCATGCATTTCAAGCAGGCGGAGATGAATATCCTCTTCGCTTTTTGCCGCTAAGTTACCTACCTGAATGTGCAGAAGATCAATGTTCCGCCATTACTGTATAACGAATTATCCAACCCTTCTATTTTAATGAACTTCACTGGTCATTTTTTGTGTCTAGTAACATCATCTGTGGTGGCAAAATGATCATAAGTAATACGTTTCCGTAGTTATCTAGTACAAGTTCAGAAAGGTTGCCCGGTTTTAAAGAAGTACTCATGACAACCGGTATCCTTTTGTCGTCTCTAACTATGCCACTAAATGGCCATAGAATGGTTATTGTCACAGCGGATAGTCACGACTGCGTCGACCGTGAAGCCATTACGCCCACTGCTACAAAGTATCACACCGAAAAAATGCATCGGCGCAGCATACGCACACTGTGTGGATCAAGGTAGCAACCGACCACTCGTATATACTGTACAATTGAGGCTTACCCATCGTTACCAACTTTAGGATCCAACTTGCAATTATTAACCGATGAGCTGGTCCAGCTACAGAGCAAACTACCAAGTTATTGCTTACGCCTTCAAAGTGTACATATTCAAATGTGACATGAGAAATACTTAACTTCTTTTTATGATCCTAGTGGTCTATGTTCATCGGGACGTGTGGAAAGACATAGCGATGGTTTAACCCGCTTTCTATCCAAAAATGTGGATAAATGCATTCATGGATGTTTACGCGGGTCCCGCCTATTATTGATATTCATTCAAAGTCTAGCCAATGTTATCACCTGAAAACGTTCACCCTTCACTGATAACGTTAAGTTTTGCCGAGCGAGCAAGGGAGTGCCGCTTCACACCATCGTGTCGTTACCTGGAGCATCAAATTAAGGGCTTACAAATGAACTCTGGTGATGACTAAAGCACCTAATCGCATGATCAGAACACTCAGTCAACTCGGCAGAACAGTTTCTTGAGGACTTTAAACCCACAATCATTGAATTAGACTAAACAATGTTCTCTTTCGATATTACCGCCTTGTTCAACTCAATCGACATCAGCTAGGCGAAACAAGCAATGACTAGCATGCTAGAGGATCACACGTCTTCTGATACAAGCAGGAAACTCGACGCCAAACAGATGCTAGAGTTACTAGAATTCCGTCGAACAGCACATAACAATTTCAACGGCCAAATTTACGGACCGATAGGAGACACACCAATGGGATCGCCGATTGTTGGTCTGGTAGCCCAAGAAGTGATGCAGGCGCTGGAACAAATAGCACTTCCAATGGCGGGACCAAAACTTTGGGTACGATACGTAGAGGAGACCTCCGTCATCCTCAAGCGGTCCAAATTGGAGGAAATACACTAGCTAATCAACAACGTGTTCAATAGCATTCAATTCACAAGGGAGGAGGAGAACAACGAGCAGTTACCATTTTCAGACGTTCTCATACGAAGGACTGGTGCTGGATGATTGGAAATAACAGTCTGCCGAAAACCTACGCATACGGACCAGATCCTCGACTACGGCAGCAATCAAGCGCAGCCCACAAACGCAGCTGCGTGCCTACTTTTTCAAACGAGCACAAACCCATTGTAGCACACCGCAGCCAAAACAGGCGGAAGAAGACCATCTTTTCAGTCTTCTCAAGAGGCAGTTCTACCCAAAAAGCTTCATTCTACGTTGCCTCGCACCACAAAAGGCTCCTCAGCATACCACGACAAATGCAACATTTGGAAAGAGAGCCGCTTTGCCCTATATCAACGACATCTCTGAAATGACGGCGAGGATATTAGTACCTTTTGGAGTCAAATTTGCACACCAGCCAGCGGAAACAATTCACTAAACTCTTCAAATTGAAAGATAAAGTTAGTAAAGAAGAATAAACTGGTGGGCTCTATAAGAGAGGTCACTTTGCAACGCTGTGTTTTACTTTTCCATGGGCATTATCTATTAACTTTATAGGAGTTGCTGTCGGAACTGCGACAAATACTACGTGAGACAGACTGGAAGAAAGCTTGGCACACGGCTACAGGAACACAGTGAAGCTATTGGTCGACGCGATGAGAACTCCCTGATGTCAGTGCATGTAGATGCCGAGAAACACCTATCCGACCTGGAGCAAGTCAAAATCCTCGGAAAGGCTAAAAGCCGGCAAGCCGGAGTTAATGGTGCCTGAAAATGCATGTGATCAAGTGCACAAGTGGTTATATTTTGTTGGCCCGCAGCACTTTATTCTCTTTTTTTCTCGTGTGCGATCAACTCTCATGTGACTGCTAAAAACTTGTCAGACGATAGAACAAGAGGAATGTAAATATTCTGGACCGCTTCGCGCTATACAAATTTTCATTTTGTGCTCACATTTTTTAAAAATTTATTATACCATGATATGAAACTGCTGTACCATTATTTGATCCGTCCCTTCTGGGAACGGCTTCTCGCATCGTCGAGCTATATACAATTTATTTATTTATTTATTTAAGTGTATTTGTTGAAGCCTGGCTTTCAAAGCAGAACTCGATCAATAAGCACTTGGACATTGAAGTCGGTTACTAGACACCGCGAACCAGGCCCCTGAAGCCGCACTGATGATGTTGCCTTGGCTGGCAATGAGACGTCTGAAAACTAATCATTCATCTAGTAGAACAGCTCAAAATCCGCATGCACACCTCGGAGCTACGGGTATTTATTCCAGATCTCAATTGTTCTAGACAGTCAGCGTCCGTAACAAGAAAAGATAACCATCGTGTTGTCTCTTGCGGGGGGGGGCATTCGGGCATTTGGATTCATCCATCTTTCCTCTGATGCACCATGCCTCAGTGCGTCTCCATGTTGAATACGCTATCTAGGCTTAACAACCCTAGCTAAAGCGTGACATCTCAGCGCTCAAGACCCCGCAACGTCGAGCAACGAAAATGTCGTGGGTTGGCGCCCCGACCCGAACCAAGAACAACTGAGGATACTCGAAGCGTTCAATTGACGCTATCGGCGGTTACAGGAAGATCTCATATAAGTATACCAAACACTGAGAGAACCAAATCATGTATGCCACCACCTACTAAAACTCAGCTTAATCCTAAAGGCAATAGCTTGAAACTGAGTCAATAGTACAGTAGTCTAGCTTGTCGACTAACTTAGTTCTCCCTCTAGGTCTGCCATTCCGGGAACATCCTCCCAAACTAACTAGTCTGTTGGCTACCCTTAGCCTTTTACAAAAAAAGGCTTGGGTATCGCATTGAGCTCCTTACATTTGCTTACAAAACGGATATTCTGGGTGATATTCAGGCGGACTAGTTTCTTTAGAATTATAACCCCCAATGACGCAGACGGGTAAGCAATCCGAATGTTATGTGATATAAACACCAACCATAACAATCAGTAATGCTGTGTTGCATTATATCATTTCACGTACACAAACCTACTTTCTATATGCCATTGCGCTATCACTTCACCACTGCGCATTTAATCGTAGTTGGCCTACTTGTGGAGTGTTCGAATCTGCAGTCCTTCCATAACTAACCTATGGGACATTTTGAGGTTGTGGTTTTGTTTACATCTCATAAGCCACTGTGCTACTGTTCCTTCAAGCTGAGTCCGCTGCCGCGTCCTTTAGGTTGCTGGTAAGATAAGTTTTCTTTCTCCTTTTATCAAGCTGCCTACACTATGTAATTTGTAAACATTGGTTTTATCCTTGGCTATCCGTAGTCTTATTACTTCCTTGCGCTTTCCAAGAAACCATGAGTTATTTGAACGAAATGTTACGGCCACAAGTGCCGTTGTAATGCCACATTTCAGACTTTACTACTGCAAGCCCGGTTAGGTGGGGCAGGAAAATAGATTCAGCAATGGGGCGGATAAGTAGACTCAACTGTGACAATGTTGCCAGTAATTAAGCGAACAGATGGGAATACTAATGACTATCAGTGATCGTGCTGAACTACCTCTAAAGCTATTAATACGCCATTTGTGCCACTCACGAATAACCTGAGCGCTACGGACATGCATTAGTTCCAACGTCACCAATCGTTAACCGGTGTCCTCTTTCAACCAACACTGTTGACAGCTTGGCACCTACTAATCCATATCTGTGCACAAACCGCTAGTGAAGGGTCAAGCGTAGACGTGTCTGCAACGTTACATGGTCCATCAACATTTGCATAACCACCTAGCAATCTTAGCATACTTTCATCCGCCGTCTGGTCCACCGTTATCTCAACATCTTGCTTCCATCATGAAGTACTGCTCTTTGAATACAAGCTGATAACTCATAGGTTGGCTAGACGAAACATCTGGCTTATACAGAAGAAGGAGAGGATAGCGAATGGCGTGCTCTCCATGACAAAAGCAATTGTTTTGCACAACCCACTAAGAGCATGACAAAACTAAGAACTCCAGCTTTCCCTATGAACTTCGGTACTCTGCTGTTGGTAACCGTAACTATGAGGCAGTCATAAAAATGAGCATGACGTTCTGCTGCTACTTATGTATCCG